CTCCTTCTCTTCTGCCTCCCCATCACCTCCTTGAAGATTCATCCTGATGGCATCGGAGGCTTCGGCATGCCATAGAGAATACTTCTTTGTACCATCAGCTTGACTGGCATCTGTTCATTACAATGAGTCATTGATCTGGTTCAAGGCCTCTGGTTTTTGGTACACCATCCTCAAGTGGATCCTCACCAAAGTTCTGGAGTGTTCTGTGTCTTGGAGATCTTGTGGGATCATTCCGTGGAACCAGTCCACACATGAGCTCCAGCAGGATCTAGATGGGGTAGATTTTAGCATGGATCAATACAAGGCCCAGGTGTGGGCCTGGGTGTTAGCCCGGCGGGTCAGATCAAGCCACTGGAGCTGCCAGCCTTGGGTGTGGAAGCAGAGTCAGCTCCCCTATGTGCATGTCCCCAGGTTATGTTTATCCTCCCCTGTGGTGAGGCCTAGGAGCCCTCTCTCAGGAGGGCAGGGCCACTCTTTTGCTGTAGTGGCCAGCAAGAGGCAAGGCCATATTTCCCACGGTAGCGAAGGGTAGGATTGGTTCAGTGTACCCCTCTGATTTCTTCTCTCATGATTCCGAAGGTCTCCTAAGGTGACACTGGCCACAGACAACAATGCAGGCTCCAGGTATGGCTGGATCATGGGCCCAGACATGACCCTTGTCAGCATCTTAGGCCTGAATGACACCCTGGCCCTGCTTGGAAGGAAAAGCCACCCAGGAGAGAATAATTCCCGTGGCAGTGTGGTCGCCAGATACCTCCAAGGCTACAGGAAGAAAAATAATTGAGTATTGGTGATGTGAATTCACTTGGCCAAATAGACCTTCTAGGAATTTTGGCCTAAAAATCATAAGACAAATAGAATAATTAGAAAATATTGCAAGATACAGGCAGGCCTCAGCAATGGATGAGGAGTGGATGATGCTGAGAAGGGGAGAGGGGAGAAGGTTGGGAGAACTGGGATGGGGGTAGGAAACTTTGAGCTTTAAAAATCAAAATAAAAACAAAACAAAACAAAACAAATCAAATATTTTGAGATTAACCATAAATTAGCTTTATTTATCACAATCTAAATTTGGGTATAAATTAATATGCATTTAGTTAGATAATTGAGAAACTGAGGCTGAGTAAAGGCAAGTTGACTTTACTCATTGGCCACCATTTGCTTTCCTTAAAATGGTTAAAATTTAAAAGTTACTATATTAGAAACAATTGGTAATTAAGCATGCTTTTACTTTATATTGCATCATGGCAGAGATAACTTTCTTAGCTACCTCTTTTTACCTAATATGTCTTCCTTTCCTGTCATTTTCAACACCCCCCTCTCTTTCTGTTGTAATCCATTCATCAAAATATGTTGTTTAGCATTTGAAATACTTATGAAAATTAACTGCAAATATTAAAGAAAAAATGTTTGTGTATATGACAAATTACTAGTAAAATCACATCTATTAGAAAAGGAACAATGTATCATTTGTATTTATGAAATTTAAAAAAATACTACTGGAAGGCTTGCCTTTACTTGGCTTTTCTTTCAAAATTAATATTCAAGGACTGAAGATCTATTTGAATGGAAAAAAATTGTAGCTAAAACAGAGGAAATTAAATACTAAAATAAAATCAGTGATAATTAGCAATGAGAAACTAATATTAGGTCCAATGATATTGGGAAGCATAGAATACCTACTGTGCAACTTATTATTTCAAGGCAAGACTTATCTTCTAAAATGGGATAAAATGGTTGACTATAAAGAAGAAGAATATTTGCTTCTATTTGTAGGAAGAATCTAAAGTGGGAATTTGAACATAGACAATACTGTTGTTGGCACTGAAATTTTCCTATCTACATCTCCTTCCCTGCCAGAGATATATAAACAGAAATAAATGTCAGGGACATAGGAGAGAAAAAAATATCCAGAGACATGATGAAAAGAACTGAGCTTAGAAATACAACTGATAATGTATAAACTAATCAGTAGGAACATAATGTGCTTTGTTACATTTCTGAGTTCATATTTCATTAGGGAATAAAAGACTAAATGAAAGGAAGAAAAAAACACACATATCATGGACTAGCAAGATGATCCAGCTCTCTTGCTGCTGAGCCTGAGGATTTAAGTTCAAACTCTGGCACTAGACAGTGGAAGGAGAATTGACTTGGTAAGTAATCCTCTGAGATTTACATGTGTTTTACATGTGCATGCATGCACAAATACACACACATGAACAAATTATAAATAAAAGAAGTTTTAAAATAGAAATAATGATTTAAACAAGAATAATATTCTGAATAAGAGGAATTGAGATGAGCAATTGGTTGTTCTGGAAATAAATATGATTAAAAATAGCTTCATAATTACTCGGTATAACTATGGGTGTGGGTATGGGCTGCATTCAGCAACTTTGTGTAACTTAGGTTTTCCTTTAGCTAATACTCCCTCTAAAGGGGGGCCCCATGGCCTTCGACTCATCCCGGGGGATAGGATGCAGTTTAAAATCCCCCAAGGACTCAGCACAGAGATGGAATCTTTCCCAGCCTTTCCAGCCATTCAATGCCAGGCCACTTGGGCTTGGTCTCTTATACTATTTGGCCAAGGTAAAGCTATCACTTCTGGCTACTGGATTCAGTTCCTGTTCCTCATGCATGCAGAGGACGATGATCTATGAGTCTACCCCTAAATAAATAACCCTTTATTATATGCAACGCGTGAATGTTTTTACAGTGGGAAACTGTTTTCACACGAAATTAGGGTAATGTAATTAGAAAGGCTGAGAAGACATAGCAGTCTCCAGGCAGACGCTATGTCTGCAAGGGGTTAGCAGATGTCCTGAGTACTAGACCAGGGGACAGTCTCTGGGGGCAAGGAACCACCCCCGTAAAGCAGCAACAGCTTATCAGAGAACAACAGCTAAGCTTTACCTAACCTTTAGCCAATTATGATATCAGCTAAGTAATTTTGTCCGTTGAATCTATAACCCTGTGACTGCTTTGTTGTTTTTGCCTTTATATATAAGCATCTTAAGAAATAGACGGGGTCCCCTCCCTCCATCTGCTGTGTAAGACTCTGAGGCAGAGTTTCCGTGCTAGCCCAAATTTAATAAATAAAATCTTGCTTTTGCATTCAGAAAAAAATAGCTTCATAAGCAATCACAAATTATAAAAATAATAAAATTATTTTTGCTCTTTATATTCATTTTTAAATTTAATATGTTTAGATTCTCAAGTATTTCTACAAAACTTGTATGTGTTTGGATTGTGTGCCTTGTCTCCAAAAGACTTAACTGAGAAAGAAGACAAAAATGGTGAACAGTGATTGACTGGCTGAGGTAGGAAATTCAATGAGTATGCAATGGACATAAAAGACAAGAGTCTAATTGTCTTTCTTCATAACCTCAACTTTTGTTTTTATAAATGTGTTTTACCTACTTTCTATGTAGATTAGATCCATGTATATCTCTTTTAGTATCCTCACTGTTGTCTAGGTTCTCTGGGATTGTGATTTGTGGGCTGCTTTTCTTTGCTTTATGTTTAAAATGACAAGATCTCCTGTGTAAATTGAGAGCATGGGGACCTTGGGAGAGGGTTGAATGGGAGGGGAGAGGCAAGGAGGGGAGAAGAGAAAAATATAGAGCTCAATAAAAATCAATAAAAAACTAAAATTCCCCCACAAAAAAAATGTTTTTCTTTAAAAATTCCATACATGTACACGGAGTTTGTTGATGCTATTCATCCCATTCGAAACTTCCCTTAGAAATCCTATCACATTTCTACCCAACTTAATGTCTTCCTTTTAAACTAATCAAGTAATTCATTTGAACCCACTGTCTCTAATTCCTGCTGCTCACATGCTCATGTGTGTGGGATCATCCACTGGGGCATTGACAACCTCCCAGGGACCACGCTTCTTAAGAAAAGTCTTTCTCTTTCCCTAGCTGCTACAAACTGCCATAATTCCTCAGCTAGAGGTTGGGTTTGGATCCCAATACAATCAATGCTAGAATTCTTAATTTGCTTCCCATGGTTCTGATCATATATAGGTATGTAGGGCTGCCTTGAGTTTAAGTTGCAGTGTTCGTGTCATTTTCAGAAGATGGCATTTCGGATCACTCTTCCCATTCCTCAGCTCCTGCTTTCTGCCTCCTCTTCTGTGATAATGTCCCTACTATGACAGAACACTCGCAGTCACTTATTGTCAACACACCTTGGACCACAACACATCTGTGCAATGAGCCATGCTCACTGGCTCTATGAAACATCTCACCAAGGTTGTGACCAGAACAAACCAATGGATATGTGCAAAATATTTAAAAAGCTGATTGACAACATGACTAGTTAGTAAGAGAACATTATGGGCATTCCTCTAGGACCTATGCCATTCTTAGCTGTGGGTTTGTTTACAGGACCAGGCATTCATATTCATATTCATATTCCTCTGGAGTAGGAATTAAATACAGTCATGAGAATAGTTGGATAACTTCATCTCATCTACTGCACAGTAGGCATATTTACCAGGCAGGTTAACGTTGTGACATACTGAACCATTACTGGATAAGACCACTGATATCTAACAAAATTATTCACATAGAAATTTAAATTTTAATTAATTATTAATGACATTTAGAATTAAATTTGGCCTATAAAACACAATTTTGTGTGTGTGTTTCAATTAAAACCACTAATGTATTCTGTTATTCTAATGCATTGTAAAACCAAGTGAATATTTCAATAAATCAGTTTAAAAGTTTACACTCCTTTCTATGGACTACAACCTCTTAAACAAAAAAAATATAATCAATCAAATTTCTGCTCTCTAGGACTTCATACTCTACCAAGAGTAATGAACATTAGGCCAGAAATCACGTATAATAATAAACATAGATCAATATTTAATTCTATCCAAAGAAGAAAAGGGCATCAAAAATTAGTTAAGACTTTATAAATCCATTAGTTGATTATAATATTTAACTACTCAATATCTGTTGATTTTGGGGTACAAAATTAATAATGAACAAATCCTGCAGTAGCAAGGAGCAGGGTTAGGGTTTAGTTTGCTGCACAATTCTGAACACAGAGAAATGGAGCCTGGAAATCAGATCACAATAAGTACCAGCTTGGTAGCTGACATCCTGAACAACGAACAATCCAGGAGAACTGCCAATTGCACAGGACTTCCCTGATTGGGATGACTGAGTTCCTTTGTCAAGAGGAACAAAAGGTGCATAGCCTTTCCTCCAGTGAGCAGTGCACAAAATATGGGTAGCTGAAACAAGAAAAATACCAAAGTCAGAATTTAAAAGGTAATACTTCTGCTTTAGAGAAAATTCAAAACTAGGTTCTGACTAAATAGGCAGAGGAAAGTTAATGGAAATCACTCAACTGTGAAGGTCTCAGCCCTTATCTACATTTATAGTGGCCTTTGGAAGTATAAATCACTACCTTCTACTGACTGAAAGATCAATGCTCCTAATGGAAACCACTGTGTTCTTCATTAAGTTTAGTTCTGTTCAAAAAAATGCAGGACAGAGAGAGGTAAATAGTGAAAATAGGATGCATTATCTATATAAACTAAACCAGAGAGTAGAAAATTAAATATTATGTGACAAAATAATCCTGTGCTATATTTTAAGTATTCCTCCAACTGATAGAAGTTTATTTTTTCATAAAATGTCATTTTATGTTAATTTTTATCTCTATTAAAGAATATTTTTATTTACTTTTGATAATGAACTAGTGTCTCTGTGTGTGTGTGTGTGTGTGTGTGTGTGTGTATGTGTGTTTGTGTAGACAGCTAGACCGCTTCTCTATCTGACAGAGCAGGGCATTACCCTTCTGGCAATGAGGTGAGAGGCCTAACTGACATATACAAAATTTGTATGATTTATACAAAACATCGACATATACAACCTTGTCTTAGTCAAAGTTCTACTACTGTGAAGAGACACCATGACTACAGTAACTCATAAAATAAAGTGTTTAGTTGAAAATTGCTTACATTCAGAGGCTTGGTTTACCCCATCATGATGGCATGTAGACAGATCTGGTACTGGAGAGGTAAGTCAGAGTTCTACATCGGCAAGCAGCTGTAAGGAGAGACACCAAGACTGACAAGACCATTTGAAACCCTAGAGTCCATCCCAGTGACACAGTTCCTCCAACAAGGTCATACCTAACTTTTGTCAAGTAGCACCACCCACTAATGACCAAATATTCCAATAGATGGGCCTATGGGGGCTCATATTTAAATCAAACCCTCTGGCTATCATACTCACTGAAAAGGGCTTTTAATCCACAGTGTCAGTAGTGCTCCAGCACTTTGTACAGTTATGATTCCCTGAGTAGAGACAGGCTCCTGGTCAAAAGATATGTGTCTGTTGAAAGTTTGGCCAGGTCATCTCAACAAGGACATCTGGAGACAGTGGAGGGTTCCTCTCCATGATATAAACATCTGCAATCTTTGATGTTCAAGCCAGTTACAAGTTACTACCTCCAGGTTCTTGCCTTGAATTTCTTTTTAGCTTCCACTGACATTGGTCTCTAATTAGCAAGCCAAGTAAAATACCCAACTAAACAAAAACAAAACAAAACCAGTTTTATAATTTGCAAGTACTTGACTTTGGGTGAGAAAATGAGTATTAATTAAAAAATGGCTTTTGTGTTTCTAAGGTGGAATTCATTAAATTTTATAAAATTATACATACATTGTTTTTACTAAACAGAATAATTTTGATAAATGGTGTTACAGAAATAAAATGAAGATCATAAACACACTCAAGACTGTCTCACATGCATTTAATTCTGACAGAAAACATAAAGCACCTCATACTCCTTCATGGCAGGGAGACTTGGTATTGCAAATGGCATACAGTATATATGAGCTGAAGTTTTCCCTACTTCACTGTGCACAACCTATCTACTGTCCAATTTATACTTATGCATTTTTGAAGACTCAAAAATTTTAGCACTCTGAGAATTTAATTTCATTAAATATTTACTAGGAAAATATAGATATCCATCATTGTATTTTAAACTTGCTATAGAGTAGAAATTCATTAGTTGCTTCTATATGTATAAGAGGAGTGTCTTGTGGGTATATATTTGGGTATGTATATGCATGTGCATGGGATATAGGTCAACTTTATGTGTTGTTCCTCAAAATCCATCCACTGTGCTTTTTGAGAGAAAGGTTTTTATTGGTTGATCTAGAGGACACCAACAGAATAGGCTGGATAACCAGGGAGCCCCAAAGGTTCTTTCATCTCTTCAGTTCTAGAATTAAAAGATCATGCCCTCACATAGCTGCTTCTGTGGTTATAAGATATAGATGCACATTTCAATGAATATAAGTGAAACATAAAAAGAATCTTATAAATATATAATAATGTTTCAAAGACTCTTGCAGAACATTTGGAATACCTGAGACTTAGAAATTCTTAAAACATCTATGTGTAGAGAGGAAAAATAGGCACTTGATTTGTGCTGACTCCACACTGAACAGGTTCTGTATCTTCAGAATGTGACAAGTTACCTTGAATATGTACCAGTTGCTGAGGATATAGTTATTTGATTTTCGTTATAAATAATATACTTATGATTTTTATTGAAAATTTTATGAAAATCACAATTTTGGCATTTGGGTCTCAGAATTCTTTGGTACACTTAAAAATGGTAAGACCCTGTTTACTTGTCTAAAACTGAGTTTACTTTAGGCAAATAAACAGGGTCTTTCTTTTTCCCTTAACATTGATCAAATTAAAATTGTTACTAGGGGAATCATTTGAGGTAGATAAATATTTGGAAAAATCTCTAGGAATCTTGACTAAAAGGGTTTTTACATAAATGAAGTTCCCACAGGTCAATTTTTGGAGAACTGAAGTTTTAATTACTTGAATTTCCAAATTATGCATAATACAGAGAGCTTTGATTTAATTTTATATCATTCTAATATACAATCTGTCAGTATTTTAGCTTCCTAGATCAGTTTTAAAAGTAAACTTCAACATGTGTAAAATTCCCTGATTAGTAACTTTTTTCACAGTGTGCATTCATAGATGGTTTATTCAAAGTAATCAAGAAAATAAAATTGACAGTTCTTCTATTCTCTGCACAATGTGAGCACATCACTCTAACTGGAGACTGCACTTGCGTTTCCTGACCACCCAGACCCAAATAATTGCACAGAAACTATATTAATTAAAGCTCTGTTTGATCAATGCCTTAGGCATATTTCTCGCTAGGTCTTACATTTTAAATCAGCTTAATTCTATTAATCTATATATCACCATGAGGCTCTGGCATACTGGTAAGTTTCTTTCTCCTTCTGCAGTCATATGGCGTCTCCCAGACTCAACCTTTTTTTTTTCTCTCTCTCTCTACTATCTCTGCTTCTATTCTGCCCTATCATGGGCCAAAGGATCTTCATTGTTAACCTATGGTAACAAAACATATTCATAGAATGCCAAGGGCATTCTCACATCACCTCCCCTTTTCTGTATAAATAAAAAGGAAGGTTTGAACTTTAACATAGTAAAATTGCATATAGCCAAACATGTATCAAGCAAGAATTACAGTTATAATATGTCTTTGTTAGTCTAAAGTTTTATATATAATTTATCTTTTATGATAACTTAGAAAAATTGTAACTATTTGTCTTCAACTCCATCAAAGACTCCAGAAAGACATATTTCCTAAGTAAAGAGGAAGTACATTGTAAGTAGCTTCCAAAACATAGAATTGACAACGATATATTATCATCTGGACAGTCACCCACAGTTCTTTTGTAACCTTAATGCACCCATCTTCAGCCTACAGGACCACAGTATCCAGCAGACTTTTCCGTGAAGCAGAAAATGTGAAAGACTGTTTCGCCTATATTGGCAGTTTGCAGTCACGTTCTTCTGTATCCTGCAGAATGTTTGGCAATTTCCTCTGTGAATCAGGAACCCTGAAGGACCATACTATCTTTTGGAAAGTTTAACAGAAAAGGACACTTTTCTGCAAGTCTTGCATGTCCAGTAAATACAGAATACCATCAAGCAGTCCAGGCGAGAACAGCTTCTTGTCAAAATGGTTAGCTTTGTCACATTGAAGGAAAACTCTATAATGAGTTTCTTCAATGTTCGTCAACCTTTCTGAAGTAATCGGTGCAGCCAGAAGCAGACAGTTCTCACTATCAAGAGAATTCTAAGCTCTTAAAATATTTTAAATGTAATGTTCTGTAGGTCTGTGAAATGTTTAAGATTATCTGTCTAACTGAAATATATCTCTGTATACCTAGAAAACCTAACTAACATGACTACAAGTTTGCCTGTTATTAATGACTATCTATGAATCTGTAATTTTAAATTATGCATTATATTTTTAAATGAGTTGTATAAGCATAATACCTTAAACAATAGTAGAAATCTACATATAACAAAATTGACCTTAAATTTGTATCAATAAACCATAGTCCATGCCAATGTAGAATTCATTTCTATATCATATCCCCTTTTCTGGTCAGGAACACTTTTTAAAATGTTAAGCATTATGGCCAGTACCAAAGCTGTGACTTTGCCTGTTTGTTACGTTCATTCCAACATGGTGGAGGTATGTTCACCACCAACTCTGTGGGCCATACTCACTGCCCCAGTTCTAGGGTTGCAGCAGGTCTATGTCACCATTAAGCAACTTGCATCACTCTGCTCACAAACCATGTGTTCTGTTGCAGGACCTGCTCAAAGAGCCAAAGTCATTCATGCTGCCAGTACAAACCAGTAAGTCTTTTTTTAAAGATGCAACACCTCTCTTAGAAGTCAGCAAAATAGTCTATCTGTGGTAAAAATGTAGCTACCAAGAAGCTGTTCTTCAGTCCCATTTTTTGTGTGTTTGAAGCCCTCTTTTTTTTTTTTTTTTTTTTTTTAGGTCTTAGTGGATCTATGATAGACAGTGGGCACCATTTGTTATTGGAGACTGGACATGCATTTCCGAGTTACCCAGACCAGAATAATCACACAGAAACTACTCTGCTTGATCAATGGCTAAGGCATATTCCTAGTTAGGTTTTATATCTTAAATTAACCCATTTATATTAACCTGTATATTAATTAATTCTATTAATGAGACTGTGGCCTACCAGTAAGGTTGTTTTTCCTTCTGCAAACACATGGCATCTCCCTGACTCTACCTTCCTTCCTCCTCTATGTCTGCTTGGATTTCTTGCCTTGCTATAGTCTGCCCTGTCATATGTCAAAGTACCTTCTTTATTAACCAATGGCAATAAAACATATTTATAGAATACAGACGGGAATCCCACATCATATCAGCATTCTATTCCCACATTTATCTTAGTCCCACACCAAAGATCTATTTTCTACTTGTAAAGTTCTCCAGCATAGGGAGACAGGAGGTAACTGATCATGAAACATAACGTGCAACTATTAAGAATAAACTTCTTATATCTGTGTTCTTTCCTTTTTGAATTAATTCATTTATTCAAAGAAATATTTCTGGTTTTCTACAGCATTGCAATACCGTATATATGCCAATGAACAATGAAAATATGCAGATGTAAACATATTTTAAGAATAAACTATATAAGCCAATTTTCTTTACAATTTTTGATATGGTCAAGTAATGAAAAATTATCGTCCTATTGTTCATTATCAAAGTATAAAAAATTGAAAATATTTCATTAGTAAATTAGTATTTAATATATTAGACACATTAACGGGTAAGAAAGCATATTCTCTACCTTTGAAAATTGTTATTGTCTTGGTTCATCTGGTTAGAACCAGGTTCCAATACTTCACCCTTTAACTTTTAAGGCTGTAATCTATCTCTTGAGACTTCTTTTGATATAAAGTGTCATTTTTGTATGTGTTTGTGGGTGATGTTGTAAACATTCTTATGTGGTTGGTTGCATAAGTGTATGTGTGTGCATGTGCATGTGTGTGAATGTGCATGCATAGGCCAGAGAGGACTCTCAGTAGTTTGTGTCCATACATACAGATGTGAAGTTTCTCCTTTGAATCCATTGCTCACTGATTTAGTAGCTCCTTTAACAAGCTTTTTGGAGGAGCCACTGTCTTCTACTCCTGAAAATAGGGGTTGTTCAAGCTTGTATTCTTTTTCAGAATTGACTGTTGGTTACCTTATCTTTATTCCTCACCTTTTAGTGTTTTACCCACTGAACCATCTATCCATCCCCTAAATGTGGAGATTATTTCTTTCTTCCTTTTACTGAAAATATTTCATCACAACTTCTTTTCCCATTCATAGCAATGATGTCACCTTTGACTTTGTATATGGTTTCTAACAATGAGAAGCAACATTGTCTTTGTTACATCCAGGTATTTATTATCTTATTCCACCCGTATTTAAGCTGACTTTACTTCCAGTGTTATCACACTCTGTTTTACTGATGCACCCTTCTTTTTTCTGGCCACTTCTTCCAATTATACATTTTTTGTTAACCATCCTTTGGATTTAGCTCCAGGAAATCATGAAGCATTGGAATTGTACGCATTTAGGAGTACAATCTCTGAAATAAATAAAATA